TGGGACTCGTACTCGAAGTCCCAACAGGCGAAGTAATTCGTCAGTCCATAAAGTGCGCGGATATGACTAACAATGAGGCCGAGTATGAGGCCGTCATTGCAGGTTTGAGACTAGCGCTCAAGTATGGGGCAAAACGGTTAAAACTACGATGTGATTCCCAGCTTGTAGTCTACCGAGTCACAGGGACATTCCAGATCAAGAAATAAAGATTGCAAAAATACCAGACCGAAATCTGCAAGCTGCTGCCCGAGTTCGACGAATGCCAGCTCGACCAAATTCCAGGGGCACAGAACGCCGAGGCAGATGGCCTCGCGAAACTAGCCGCAGCCACCAAAAGCATCACAACAGGAGATAAAAACGTGGTCCATTTCCTCAACTCATCGCTAAATCAGGTCGACGTAAGAACCATTAACTTAACTTGGGACTTACGCAATCGTATTATCGTGTACTTGCAGGACGGAACACTCCTAAGCGATAAAAAAGAGGCTAAGAAACTGAGAATGCAAGCAGCCAAATACAATATCCTCCACAACGACCTGCACAAGAGAACTTACGGCGGCCCTTTAGCAAAGTGCCTGGGCCCAAACCAAACTCGGCGCGTCCTTGAAGAAATCCACAAAGGCCATTGCGGGGCTCATTCCGGTGACCGAGCACTGGTCCGATGCCTCATACGATCGGGATATTACTGGCCCACCATGAAAAAAGAGGCCGCAGATTTCATGAAAAGATGCGAGCAATGATAGAATTAAGCCACAATGATTTACCAGGCGAGCGAACACCTCCACTCGGTCACCTCTTCCACCGTCGGGAAGCTTCCGTCCTCAACATCAGTGGGAACGCTCTTCGCATGAGGAGGAAAAACTATCGCTAGAGGGATCGTGTCACTTCCCTCACTGGACTCTGAAGGTACATTAGACCTATTTTCGACAAAAGAGCGGAAGGTATCAAACAACGGAGGATTAAAAACGATAAGAATCGCTGAAACAAAGGGAAAAGATGCACAACAATGGAAAAGGAAGAAGAAGATATATGGTTTCGATGCAGGAAATGTGTAGAGTTTGGGATTACACCCTCACATCCCTATTCATAGGAATTCAGGCGTCAGAATCGAGAAATTGGCTTATTATTACCTGGCAACGGAATCGAAGCGGCAGGACCAATCAGGAGTCCTACGCAAAACGAAGCGACGCATCGAGAATATGCGTCATGATGACGCACGAGGTCGTGACGTCACCTTGATTCATGGACAACACAACTCCAAAATTTGCGGCTCACGAAGGGCCACGTTACCAGCTCGCCTCAATCATCACGACCCGATCAGCTCGTCCAATCGTTTCCACCGCCATGAACAGAATCCGCTCATCAAGCCCGCCTGAGGCCGGCCTCAATAAGCGGAAGGACTAACTGTATGGGTTAAAATCAGCCCTAAAATATTTAAGTTAAGATAACACTAAAGAAAGAATTCTCGAGTCGTCGTTACTCAAGGTGGACTAGGAAGCAGCAAGACTCATAGCCGAAGAGTCGACGAGAGTCGTGGTCGAGATGTCAATAATGGTCGAGGTTGAGCACCGTTGATGAAGCTGTAACGACTAGATTTCGAAATAGGATATTAAAGAGAATATTCTAGTGGATATTCTCTGCACTTGTACTATTAGGATTTATTAGAAATATGTCTCATATAAATAAAAAAGGAGACAACGATATGAGGCATGTGATATTCATTTGTAAGAAGACACCTTGACAAAAAATATTCTCTCTCACTAAGATACAAACACCGCCTTTTCACTAAGTTTCTTGTCTGTGTTATTCCATACTTTTCCATCAGATCCGAGAATAACTCAAGCATTCAAGGATTTGTCTGTCACTATTCATTGTCAGGTGGAACAACCATCTAGTTCATCTTTTATTGGGTGAATCATTCCTCCTATTTAGTTAAATGCCATTTATTGTTATTCATGCCATTAAATGCTACATTGTTGTTCATGCTTTTTGGAATAGTTATTGCATACTGTTATCACTATTCGACCAAAACTATCTGACTTTTTCACACCCTTGGAAGCTACATCTAGAAATATTATTGTTAACAAAGTTTAACCCATAATCACATAAATTTAATTATTTGAACCAAGAGTTATATTTTTGGTCAAACAACACCCATCCTTTTGAAATCCTGAATCCGCCTCTGCACGTTGGAGGTGCCTGCTTTCTTGGTTAGTAGACAATTCATAATTTTTTGCTAAGGTTTTCGGCAAGTTCCTGTTTTCCTCTATCTAAGCACTTAGCTAATGTGCTATACAGAAATACTGAAAATTGATTAGATGTGGAACAATATAACATGTTAATAAGTGACAAGATTAAGAACGACAAATTTCACAGATGGTCATATAACTATTACTTTTTTCATTAACATATATAACTATATTTATTAACACAAAAATCACAAGCGTATAAAATCAAAAAGTACTAAAGAAACATGAGAGAACCTTTCCCCTCCCCCAAATATACTCCATTTATCTCCTTATCCATATATTCTTTTTCAAGATTTTCATCCAAATTGATAGTAATTATTATTTCTAGAACTCTCTGATTTCGAGTATTTATTTTCTTATCTGCACCTTTTATTTTTCTTTTTTATCCTCATAATCTCATGCAAAATATTCCAAGAAACAAAAAAAAATTATTTTGAAAAGTCATACCATATAAGTATATATAACTTGTGATAACTATGCTTACCGAGCAATTTTTATACCCAATTAACTCCACACAATTTTAGAAAAACCTCTTAAATGTATATCTCATCAAATATACTCCTATAATTTAAATGGCAGAATAGTGTATTAAAACTACATATCACCTGAGAAGCTAAAAAATTTATGTACAAGGGCCGCTAGAACATAAGTTACGGGTTCAGCCGAACTTAATAGCTTTTGTTCAAACACTATATTTGTCTGAAGAGATCAATTGAATATGTATAAATTACTAATATAGAACCCACTGACTTATACAGTCAAGAATTTTGAACCTATAAACTTTAAATTCTGGCTCCGCCTTTGTACAAGGGGGAGGGAAGTCGTCTTTCTTACTCTTCTCAATAAACAACACACAGTATAGTAATTTAGATACTTTTATTTGTGTAATTAGTGCGTAGCTTTTACATAAAATTTATGTAATTTTGATTTTAATTTTTTAATATTCCTTGAACTTTCTTAAATAGATAAAACTTAGATAGGCTTCGCCGATAATATTTATTTAACTTTACATTACAAAAATTTATTTGCTAGGATTTATATAAAATTACAAATGAGCCTGAATATATGTAATTTATATCCCTCTTTCCCTCAAAGAAAAGATATAGTACATCAAATTTTGTTATTTGCTGCGTTTTTTGTATAACTCTGTTTGATGTTTTTAATATCACGCAAAGCACAGATTATTTTAGAGGAATTTTCAGAAATTACTATTGTTTAGTAACTATTAACTTCCTATAGCTACCATATACATAATTACTTCCTATAGCTAATATTCAGTTGTTACGGTAGTGTATTCACTGTATTCGCGCTGCTGTATTCATGAATACAGCAACAAAAAGCGCCTAACAATCAAGGCAGTCCAGTTGTACGCGCATGTATTCGCGCAATGTATTCATGAATACAGCAGCAAAAAGCGCCTAAAATTAGGGCAATCCAGCTGTACGCGCATGTATTCACATGTATTCGTGCTGTTGTATTCATGAATACAACAGTAAAAAGTGCCTAAAATAAGGGCAATCCAGCTGTATGCACATGTATTCACATGTATTCGCGCCATGTATTCATGAATACAACAACAAAAAGCGCCTAAAATCAGGGCAGTCCAGCTGTACGCGCATGTATTCACATGTATTCGCGCCATGTATTCATGAATACAACAGCAAAAAACGTCTAAAATCAGGGTAGTCCAGTTGTACGTGCACGTATTCACATATATTCGCCCCATGTATTCATGAATACAGCAACAAAAAGCGCCTAAAATCAGGGCAGTCCTACTGTACGCGCATGTATTCACATGTATTTGTGCTACTGTATTCATGAATACAGCAGTAAAAAGCGCCTAAAATCAGGGCAGTCCAGCTGTACGCGAATGTATTCACATGTATTCGTGCTACTGTATTCATGAATACAGCAGTAAAAATATAAATAGTCGTTACTGTATTCATGAATATATGGTGCGAATACATGCCTCAAAGGTAGTGTATACCATAATACTTATTTTGCTATAAAATAGGCCAAATACATACACAGCCCCTTAAACTTGGCCCAATTTTTTATTTTGGCACTTTAACTCAGTCTTGTTCCATTTTGGCCCTCCAACCCCATTTTTTTTGTTCCACTTTAACACAAAAGCTGACTCCAGTAAAAAAAAAAGTAGCGCGTGTATTCACACAAATCTGATGTGTAATTATATCCAATCAAATATTGCCATTTCAGCCATGTCAAACGGGTCATATACTATATCCGAACCCGAACCCGACCCACAATAACCATTTCATCCCTAAACCCTATATCCGAACCCGACCCACCAAATCCAGTAAAAATACGCTTCCACCTTCACTGTCCCGTAAAAATGCACCCCTTACTGTGACCCTACTCCGTAAAAATCGCTAATCCAACGTGAGGTAACCTTCGATTTTTGATGGTTTCTTCATGATCTGAAGACGTGATTGAGATTTTCATCAAGCATTTCTTGCTGGCCGTCGATTTTCACCAACTATTTCACCAACCCGTCGATTTTGTTCCATTTTTTATTGTTGCTGGCCTTAGAAGTAGCGAATGTTGTGGTTCTTGTACTGGTAAGTGTCGATTTTTCAATGCATTGCTATTTTTTGGCCCTATTTTTTTTGTCTAGGTATATTGGGAAATTGATACAAAAGCTAGGTTTTGTATTTTTGAAAACAGTGTGTGTATAATATAATACTATTGGTAATCGTCTCTTTCTTCTTTTTCATGTCAGATAAAAGAAAAATGGCAGGAGATTATATTATTTTCCGTTTCCACCATGGTGGAACTTTTATCAAAGCGCCTGACCCGAACAACATTGGGGAGAGAGAAATGAAGGTAACTCCTATTGACAAGGACCACTTTTCTGTTGTCGGGTTGATTAATTATTCAAAGGATATGGGGTACGAAACTGTTGAGGGATTCTATGTATTTAACTCTAATTCCAATGGTTTTGTTCTGTTGGAAAATGACAACAGATTTTAAATATTGTATCTCAGCTTAAACATGGTGCTTTTCTTGATTTTATTAGTCATGTTGGTTTGCTGGAAGAAGGGGTCCCATTTGGCTTAGACAATTCAATAAATAAGGGGTCTAGGGCAACATTAGATGGCTTAGACAATATAAATGCTCAACAAACTGCTGTAGAAACCAACCTCTCATTGAACACGTAGAAAACAACACATATTTGACTAGAGAGGAAGAAAACTCTAATCTAGGAGATGACAATACTATTTTGCCTTCAGATCTGGAGAGTAGTGAATCTGAATTAGATGTTATACCCGAGGAAGATGATAGTGAGTTAGATGATGAGTATAGAGCCTTAAGGCAAGAAAGAAGAAGAAAAGACAATCAAAACCCAAAGAAAAAGAGGAAGAATCCCACTCCCACACTAGAGGATGAGTTAGGAGAGGCTGGAGCAGACAAAGGGTTTGATGACATTGAGAGGCCAAACAAAAGAGACTAGTATGCTGGAAGATTAGGGGGGATGAGGACTACTACAGTAGTTCAGATATTGGAAGTGATGATAGTAGAGATGAGTTGGATGTTCTAGCTGAAAGGGGTGTTGACTTGCCAGCTAGAAGGAAGAGTAAAAAATTAAGGTTTGACCCAGATTGTAAAATAACTATATTTGAGCTTGGTACGGTCTTTGAGAATGCTATGCAATTTAGGAAAGTAGTGCAATCTTATGCTATAGAGTACAAAGTTCAGCTAAAACTTACGCCCAATGAGAAGCACAGGATTAGAGTAAAGTGTAAAAGTAAAGGGCTATGTACATGGGAGCTATATGCAAGCACTGACAGAGATTTTAGGGACTTTATTGTGAAGGAATACCAACCAATTCACAAGTGCACTACCAAAAACAAAAACAAGTTGTGCACTTCCAAGTATATTGCACATGAATACAAAGACAGGATCATATCCCAACCAAATATAAAACTTTGGGAAATTAAGGAGTGGGTTAGGGATCAAGAGGGTTTATATGTGGGAAGGACTATCTGTTATAGAGCTAAGTGTATGGTACTCAAGCAGTTCATGGGGTACTGAAAGTTGGAATTCTCTAGGTTGTGTGACTATGTTGATATCTTTAAAAGCACAAATCCTGAAAGTTCTTGTTGGATCAGGATAGATAAAGATACTAAACCTGGAAAGAACTTGTTTGTGTTTTTTTATGTGTGTTTTGATGCTCTTAAAAGAGGGTGGTTAGAAGGTTGTAGGAAAATTATTGGATTTGATGGATACTTCTTGAAGGGGTTATGTAAGGTGAGTTACTAGTAGCTGTTGGTAAAAATGGGAATGATCAACTATTTCCTATAGATTGGGTTGTTGTTGACCAGGAGACAAAACACTCTTGGACTTGGTTCATTGAAAATATAATTTCAGACTTGGACTTAGGAGATGGAGTCGGCTTAACAGTTATGTCAGATATGCAAAAGGTATTCTCTTTTAAATAATCTGTTTCTATTTGTATAATGTAATGTTTCTGTATTTTATTGTTGAATAAAATTGTTATTTTATTGTTTTGTAGGGTCTGGTTTCGGCTATTAGTGAGTTATTACCTAATGCAGAGCACAGAATGTGTGCTCGACATATTTGGTCTAATTGGGCCAAAAACTGGAGAGGGGAAGAAAGAAGAATGCAATTTTGGAAATGTGCTAAGTCTTCATATGAAATAAAGTTCAAGGAAGAAATTGCAAACATGGCAAAACTTGGTAAGAAGGATATATGTGAAGACTTACTGGCATATAACAAAGAATGTTGGTGTAGGGCTTACTTTTCTACATGTTCTAAATGTGATGCTGTTGAGAATAATATGTGTGAAACCTTTAATTCTTGGATAGTAGGACCAAGACATAAGTCAATTATTACTATGTTAGAGGAAATTAGACACAAAATTATGAATAGGCATGTTGATATGAGGAGATTTGTTGAGACCTGGATAACAGACATTTCACCAATGGCAAGGTTAATATTAGAAGAAAACAAAGAGCTTTCTAGGAAGTGTAAAGTGTTGTGGAATGGAGATTCTGGATTTGAAATAGGTGATGGTGACAAAAGGTTTATTGTTGACTTAGTAAGAAGGACATGCACATGTAGAACTTGGCAGTTGAGAGGCATTCCATGTGCTCATGTTGTTTGTGCCTTCTATCACTTAGACCAAGAACCAGAGAATGAAGTCGAGGATTAATACAGACAGAATGTGTTTGTAAAGGCTTACCAATATGTCATACAACCCATGCCTAATATGAAGATATGGCCTGAAACAAACAACCCCTCTATTGAACTTCCTGAACCAAAACCAATGCCAGGAAGACCTAAAAAATGCAGGAGAAAGTCAAAGGATGAGCCAAAAAAGAAATATGGAAAGTTGTCAAAGAATGGGGTGAAAATGACTTGCTCAAAGTGTTATCAATTGGGCCACAACAGAACTTCTTGTAGATCAGTGGTAATTGTTACTTTATATTATTTTATTTTTATTGCTTTTGATGTGTGATTGACTAAATTTTGTTGTTTTGTAGCCTGGATCCACTTCCTATCAACCAAGTCAACAAACTCAACTATCTCAACCAATCCCACCAGCTCCAACACCATCATCTCAAACTAGCAATCCACCTTCAGTGTGTAATGACACATCCGCAGTGAGAAGAAGTAGCCAAAATCAGTCTACTGGTATAGGCAGGGGAAGGGGTAGAGGTTTGGGACTTAAAAGGCCAAGGCCAGCAACAGGTTTTGGAGTATATACAAACATTAGGAGTGGAAGAACAGTTATCAATGTAAGCTTGTACTGGCATAATACTTTGCTTTGATTTTTATCATTCTAAGTAGTGACTAATTTATATCATTTTGCAGCCCAGTATACCTTCTGAGAGAGTGATAACACCTGGAACTTACAAAGATACATCTGCAACAAATATAGATATTGGATATAAGCCTCGTGGTCTCAAATAGAAGGGGAAAAACGCAGTAACAACTTCTCAACTGTAGCAGATGCGAGCAACAAGGAATATAGGGTCTTCTCAACAGCAAATGCAGTAACAATTTCTATGTTTGGTATTGTTGTGCAAAAACAGTTTGTTTTGTGTTGTGCAAAAAACAGTGTCATTTGCACAAATTTGCTATTGGGCTTATGTTTTGTGCAACAGCAACAGGTTTTGTTGGTTTTTGGGCTTGTGTTTTGTGCAACAGCAAATTTCTGGGCTTGTTTTTGTGCAACAGCAACAGGTTTTGTTGTGCAAAAAACACTGTCATTTTTTGTACAAAAACAGTGTTTTGTTTATGCGAAAAACAGCATATGTAGAACTGGTATGCCTTTTGTATATGCGGAAAACAGCATATTTGACAGCTTGTATGGCTTTGGTTATGGCCTTTTGTTTCTGCGAAAAACAGTGTCAATATATATGCGAAAAGCACAATAATGTATTGGGTTGGCAAATTCTGGGAATTTCTATCGAAAACAGCATAATGTTTTGGGTTGGCTAACCAGAAAATAGCGAATTTCTAGGAATTTCTGTCGAAAAAGTGTTGGCTTGATAATTTGGTAGTATGCAATTTAATTTCTTGAAGAATATAGTTGCATAGACATCCATTTACAGGTTTTAGATGATGAAAAATAATGATAAAAGATTAAATCTCTTCAACCTGGGATACAACATTGTTCCTGGTTCGACCATTACATCAATTTGCATATATATAAACTCAAATTACATCAATAAAAATGGGGAAAACCTAGCCAATTTCATAACATGAACGCAACAAGAAACACAACTAACTTCTTCCACCTAGCCAACTTTGCATCTCTTTCTTTTACTTTGTTTAGCAAACCATGAATAACCTTGTTCGCTTGAGCTGGAAACTCATCATCATGCCATCTAAAGTAATTGCAACCACGCTGTAAAACACAAGAAAAAAAGCTGATAAATCAATGTAAACAAAGACAAGAAAATGAAAACACTAAAAATGAAATCCGAAAATGGTTCACTTACTTTGTCAAATTTACACCCATAAGAGCGACGACCTGGATTTCTTGGTGTCCATGATACTTTCAATTCAACTTGAAATCTACAACAACAAATATCCATTCCATTGTGAGAAACTAATATTCTTTGAGACATGAATTCACTTCAAATTTCAAGCTTAGATGAAATAAACCCTTTGAAACTTTGAGAGTAAAGATGGAGCAATAGGAAATGAGAAATGGGGAAGGAAATAATGAAGATGAAATGCCAAATACATAGATAGGGGATTAAATATGATGCCAACATAAATTTATTACCATTGGAGTATGAAATTGGGCAGAAAAAATGACTCTCACGCGCCTAAAGGGCGAGGAAAATCACACACGGAATCTAGTAAGCTTTTGTGTTAAAGTGGAACAAAAAAAATGGGGTTGCAGGGCCAAAATGGATCAAGACTGAGTTAAAGTGCCAAAATAAAAAATTGGACCAAGCTTAATGGGCTGTGTATGTATTTGACCTATAAAATATAAAAGGTAGCTATAGAAAATAATATTTTAAAATAATTTTGATTTATAATAAATAGAGTGTATACCTTTGCTATATGAGATAAATTTTCCATTATTTTACTGGTAGTTTATATATTGGGGGAGGATTCCGCTCATGTTTCTTTAGTATATTTGGTTGGATCGAATAGGGTTGGTCCTCTTTTAATTGAGTCAATATTTATTAGTATAATATAAAAAATGAAAGATGTGGATTAAAAACATATTGTATCGGAAAGTTAAATTTTCCGGCAATTCAGATTTTTGAATAAGCAAGTGAAAGTCTCGTGATTTTTGTGTTAAAAAGTAAGTTATATAACTTTGCTGCACAACATTATAATATATGACCATTTGTGTAATTTATCCTAAATGTTAATATGTTGTATCGTTCAGAATTCTCCGTCTCGTTTATTATTAACAAAGCTTTCAAAAGATCCTCTTTCTGTAACGACCCGACCGGTCGTTTTGAGCTCTAGCACGTCGTTCGGCAGTTTGAGGCCATGAGCAGCTCCATATCAGGTATTATGACTTGTAGGCATGGTCGTAATTGAATTCTGGAAAGTTCGAAGTTGATTTGGAAGGAGAATTCTCATTTTCGAAAGCTTTAAGTTGGAAAAATTGTCTAAGATTAAATTTTGAGTAAACGACCTCAGAATCAGGATTTGAAGGTTCCATCAGGTTCGTATGATGATTTTGGACTTGAGCGTAAGTACGGATCGAGTTTTGGATGAACGGGGAGAGTTTCGGCGCCTATTGTGGAAGTTAGCATTTTGGAAGAATTTCATAAATTTGGGTTGAAGTGCATTTCAGTGTTATCGATGTCCGTTTGGGATTCCGAGACTAGGAATAGCTCCGTATGGCGATTCTGGTATTGGGAGCGCGATCGAAAGTGGATTTGGAGGTCCCTGGGTCATTTTGGAGTCATTTGGCGAAAGTTAGAAATTTGAAGGTTTTTGAGAAGTTTGACCGGAAGTGGTTTTTGATATTGAGGTCGGATTTCGATTCCGGAAGTCGAAGTAGGTCCGTAATGTCGAATAGGACTTGTGTGCAAAATTTGAGGTCAATCGGACGTGATTTGATAGGTTTCGGCATCGAATGTTGAAGTTTGAAGTTCTAAAGTTCATTAAGCTTGGATTGGAGGGCGATTCATGGTCTAAGCATTGTTTGATGTGGTTTGAGGCCTCGAGCAGGTCCGCATTATGCTTTGGGATTGGTTGGTATGATTGGATAGGATCTCGGGGGCCTCGGGTGGATTCCGGGTGGTTAATGAATCAAGGTTTGGAGTGGAAGGGCTGCTGAAGTTGGAGGATTGCTGGTGTAATCGCACCTGCGGAGTGGGCACCGCAGGTGCGAGCCCGCAGAAGCGGAAAAGGACTAGAGCAGGGGAGTCGCAGGAGCAGTCATTTGGGCGCACCTGCGGGAGCACAGGTGCGAAGGTGAAGGGCGCAGAAGCGGAGAAGGGCGCAGGTGCGAAGAAGACGCCGTAGAAACGGAGCCGCAGAAGCGACTAAAGGACTGTAGATGCGAAAGTCGTCTGGGCAGAAGGGTTCTTTTAAAATCGGAAATTGGCCATTTTTCTCCCATTTTTCATTTGGTGTGGGCGATTTTGGAGAGCTTCAAGGGGAGAAATTCTTCAAGTATCACAAGGTAAGTTTTTCCCGCTCATTATAAGTTAAATACATGATTTAGATACGAATTAAAGTATGAAAATTTGTAGAAATTCGGGGTTTGAGGAAAAACCTAGAAAATTGTTATTTTTGGATTTTGACCACGATTTTTGGTCATGAAATTGAGAGTAAATTATATATTTGAGTTCGTGAGGTTATGGGTAAACTTTATCTTCAAAAAATTTCGGTATCTGGGCATGTGGGCCCGAGGGTGATTTTGTCAACTTTTCAATCGGGGTTACAAATTGTTATAAATTGGATTATTATGAGTAATTGAGCATAAATTAATGGGTTTACATAATTATTGGTTAGTTTTGGAGCGTTGTGCATCGATTTGAGCCTTCGGAAGGGCGTGGAATGCCAGTTGTGAAACTTCGGAGCAAGGTGAGTCTCCTTTCTAACCTTGTAAGAGGGAATTGTCCCCATAGGTGAATTAATTGGATATGTGCTTCTATTTGTGGGGACTACGTACGCACGAGGTGACGAGAGTCCGTGCGTAGCTACTATTATGCTTATGTCCGGGTAGTCTAGGACCCAAAATCATGCTTTACTTGAAATAGTTGTAACCTTATTGATAGTTTAAATTGCTTTAATCGTATCGAAGTGGTAAATAATTTTCTAAAAGAGTTAAACTTCGTTTCCTTGACTTGTAAAAGAGAAATTGACACCTCCTTGAATAATTGTTTCCCTGATGAAGTCTTGATTGACTGTTTGAATGTGTGTTTCTATGTGTACCTGCGTCGCATGTATGATTCACGAGCGGGGTGATTGTTTATTTATATTTGACCGCGTCACATGTATGATTCGCGAGCGGGGTAATAGATGCATCTATGGTTCGCGCCATTCGACCCTCTAGCAATGCACAGTTTAAATATTGTTGGATCGGGTCGTACGACCTCGTCATGATTTGCGCATGCTTGTATTGCTTGCCTTGAAATTCATTGATGTTGATATTTGTTCTCCCTAGACTGAGATAAACGTATGAATGATAAAAATGAATTTGTAACTTTCCTATAAACGAAA